GGAGAAGATTTGGAGCGAGAGCAGATAGGAGTGATAGAAGAAAGAATGAGGAGAAGGATAGTGGATAGATCAAGTTAACTGGAGGTGTCAATTGACATTACATTTGGATAGTTGGAGATTATAGCTATCAGGGAAACAGTAATTGGGAAGGGTGTTCCACAGGCGAGAGGTGCGAGGTATGAAGCTATTGGAGTAGAAGAGACGGCTACATTTAAAAGTTTCTACAGTGTAAGGGTGGGAGCGGGATGCCAGCCTCGTAGGGCGCTTGAATTCATGGAGTCTGGGAACCAGTGAAAACAGCTCATCGGAGCAATTACCATGAAAGTATTTGTAGAAAAGACAGAGAGAGGCGACGGCTCGTCTGTGAGAGAGTGACTGTAGACGAGACGCCAGATCAGGGCCAATTATATTACATATCCGTCTCTGGATCTTGTCAAGAACTCCGAGGTAAACAGAAGGTGCCTGGGACCATATATGGCAGCAATACTCCATGCAAGGGCGAATGGTTGATTTGTATATTTGAAGTATCGATTCCAGGGAGAAAAATTTCCTGGCGCGGCACAGAGAGCCAACTTTCCTCGCGGTGGAAGAAGCAATTGACTCAATGTATTTGTTCCATCTCAGGTCAGCAGTCAACGTGAGACCGAGCAGACGCAGGGAGTTGCTCTCAAGAAGTTGACTATCAGACATTCTAATGGGGGGGGGAGGAACAGGGAAGGATCTCTATGGTGATTAATAGAGAGTAGTTTAGTTTTTGAGGCGTTAAAGTTGACCAGCCTATTCTTGCCCCAATTAAAGATATGCATATTATATAATAACAATTTCATACTAAAATAAAACTAAAGGATACATGTCAGGCTGAAGAATTATTGATCCGCCTTATGACATCAAAATATAATTAATATTTAAATTATTGTTAATATATTTCACTCAGTATTTGCCCGGATATCTCCATTTTCAAATTAATATTCAATTTCTCTTGAGAAACGTAGCTTCACTTTTTAAAAATCATTCATTTTTATTTATTTATGTGATATTTCTAAAATGATCATCGTGCGAGAATAAATTATTGTTTTTGGTGAACGCACTGAAAACTCCATCCACGAATTCGTTCATAAATAATATATTTTCCCCAAGAATGTCAACATTTTCTAAGTTTCTTGACATTCTAAAATGAATGATATTAATTATTCCACACATTTAATGCTTTTCTGTATCTATTACACTATTTTGTTTCGTTCTATTTCACAAAAGTTATATGAGCAAGTAGCAATATATTTAAAGTGTTCATACCGCATCAAAGTCGGTAATTTTGTTTTATTTACCTGTAGATATACTACTACATATCTAATAATTAAAGTAAACAGAAGTCCTATTATTAGTTACACAAAAAAGCTAACTGGAAAATAATCATTTAAGAAACATTGCGGTTAGCAGCCTTTTTTTTTTCCTAAATGTCAGTGGCAGTTGATTTAGTTCTGGTTAAATGACAGAGGGTGAGAATTAAAGAAACTTACACAAACACTGGTAGAGAGAGAGAGAGAGAGAGAGAGAGAGAGAGAGAGAGAGATGCAAAAAGATTTAGAGAGAATGAGATACAATGAAAGAAAAATTTACATACAGATTTTAGGGATAATGAGACAGTTACCTGGAGAGTATAAAAAGAGAGAGGTTTGTTGAGAAAGAGAGAAAGTTAAAAAAAATTAGAGAGAATTACAGCGAGAAAGAGTGAGATAGAGCGAGAAAGAAAGAAATAGAAAATCGTTCCAAGAGAGGCATACAAATAATGCAAAAGTGAAAGTGACATTGGGTGTTAGAGGGAGGCAAGGCAAGTTATAATAAGAGAAAGTGAGAAAGAATGATAGAGTAAGAAAGAAATTGAGAGTGGCAGGGAGGTAAAGAGAGACGAGGAAGGTAAGATCTATCTCTTACGCACTTTTTCGTTCAACTTGAGCAGGTTATGTTTTTCATTCCAAATTGTTTTGGTTTTTTTTTTCGTTCTATCTATTGTATCTACTTTTGTTTTTAACCATTTTCACAATTTCGTTGCTTTTTTCTTTCCTTTTGACCTATTTTGGAAGCGGCTGGAATTCGGCAGTCTCTCGTCTCATCCAAACTTGGTTAATAATTGGATGACTCAAGTGTCTTCCACTTGCCGGCCATTTTGTTTGCAAAAGCAAGAAAAAAGAGAGAAAAGAAATGACTTCCATTACTTCGTTTTGTACTCCAAAGGAACAGTCCAAGATAATTACATCTTAGTGTGCATGCGGAAACGAACTAGTGGGGGTGGCGGAGATGGAAAGTGTAAGCAGAAGAGTCGACGATGATCATTGGAGCAAAGGTCCACGGTTTATCCAGGAAGGAGTCAGGGGATGGAAGGTTCGAAATATCCAACAGGGAAGAGAATCGTGTCTTACCAATCAGCGAGGGATTTATTCAAGGAACTTACCAGTACCAATTATCATTTCGAACTGGTATGGCTCTTTCGTTGGTGACAGCCGTCCACTCAAGAAAAGGGTCCACCTCTCCACGTGCAAAGCTGTCGATAACACAAAAGGTCATGTCACAGACCTTACTGCCTTGTGGGCGGCAATTCTCTAGAGATGCACTCTGTCTCTGTTTTCAAACGCACTTTTTCAAACCTTTTCTTCTTTCATAAATCTCATACACATAAATACAGATATACGTGTATATATATATATATATATATATATATATATATATATATATATATATATATATATGTGTGTGTGTGTGTGTGTGTCTGTGCGTGTGTGTGTTTTTGTGCGTGTGTGTTTATGCAGCCAATTCTCTTTTAGGCATGTCTGATTGAATAAATTACAAACATTATGTTTATTTTGACCACAATCCTTTCATATTCACGAATATTTTCCTTATATTAATAATAAATAAAGCAAGAAATGAACTGTAACAGTGGTAATCACTTTTATTTCCCATTACAGATAGAAACTACTTGGGAAATATATATGTATGTGTTGTGTGCGTGAGTGTATGTATGTATAAGTGCTGAAGAGCCAAAAATTAGGGACGGCAACATAATATCTTCATATGGAATCAATGACGGCACCTGTCTGACGCGACATGAAGTTTGTGATGTGATGGAATCGCTGCTTGTACATATCTATCCAGGCATGAGTTGTATTTTTTCGATGTAACAGCAAGAAATTTATTAAATTAAAAAAATTCCTATACATGTTTAATAGGATTTAAATCGAGCGTTAGCTAGAATAAACGGAAAACTTACATGTCAAGAAAGTGTTCCAAGTCAATCGTATGCGATTGTGGCTTGTCTTATCATCTTGAGGTAAATCTTCACTAAGAAAGAAGGTGAGCTTAAAGCGATGCCAAATTCCGCAACACAGTGTGTATCAAACTATTTGAGACAACTCCAGATTCGTTAATGTGACTTTGCAAGGGCTAACAGTGCAGGATACACTCACATTTATACATTAACCACCATAATTTAACAAACTAGATATGTATTTTGAGGCAAGTGTCTGCCATGGCAATATTCACGGGTTAGACGCAAATACTTATGTCGTATTTTAATTAATAGTAATCTTGGAAATGAAAAAAGGGAAACAGTGTAATGCGGTGTTGTGTGACGTAGGGGACGTTGATTGTTGGAAGGAACGACATAAGCGTTGAACTGGGATGGGATTTTTTTCAATGTTCTACTCTTTTAGGCGTTTTTGTTATTAGTCAATAGCTAGCAAACCGTTTAGCATCATCTATAGTTGACGAAAATTCAACTGATATCATTTCGACATACGAATATTCATGAAATGCGTTTTTCTACATTCACCCATGAATGATCTTGGAGATAGTGACGCCGATCTACAGCTAAACTGTCACAGCTTCACTGCCTTTTTTCATATTAGTTTACATTTATATGTCATTTTTTATGTAAACTATATATATATATATATATATATATATATATATATAGAGAGAGAGAGAGGGTGAGAGAGATAACATCGTGAGTATGTGTGAGATTGGTAGGAAAAAAAGGCATTATTATGTTTTTAGCAAAAGTTTCACGATAGAAGTGTTATTTTCAAATCTCTACATTTGGAATTATATTGAAAAGAATACCTGAAATTCGAAATTATTTCTGAAATAAAATAAAAATTTAAACAATGGAGAAATTCGAAAAATGGGAAGCAAATTTGTTTCTGATAAGCGTTCGAGTTGTGCTTAGTCAAAATTATACTGAAATCATATGGGATATGAATGAGTCTTATTTTCGTAGAGAATTGGCGTATGTATATTATCTTGAGACTTTCAGATAGCCTACGTTCAAGCAAGCTATTCGCGAATAACAATTATTCCGTTATCTATGGAAATTTACAATATGAGAAACACATTTACTATATTTCTAATACAAACATGTATTACAAACCGAAATTCATAGGCTTATATATATATATATATATATATATTTATACGTCATTTATATATACACAGATATTTAAGAAAATGCTCTCCTTATAATAAACAGTATTAAGAACATTTACCGCCCTTAGCAGCGGACACACATTATCTATGAAATTTCTCGGACGTCCATGTTGTTAATACTGTTTATTATGAATAATAAGTCAGCACGTGATTTACTTCCTTCTAATCTCCGTTTCTGATCGATGTTGTAATCAAGGTAAGCATTTCAAAACTGGTTTCTTACGAGGCAGATTTTCTCTAATTTAAAGGTTCGCAAAAAATGTTGCTCTCCACATAATGATTTGTGTATATTACGCAAATATATAACATTATGATCTCTCTAGGCTTAACGGTTTTAGAATATTCAGGATTTGGGAAATGTCACAGAGGAAAAGAAAATGAAGGTTGTATTGTTTATAAAGTTTGATCTTTTTCGCTTTAGTCCAGCTGGTGACAATCACCCATTCACAAATTATATGTGCGTTTCTGTATTCAGAAGGATTACTGATTCGTCTGACTGCTCGACTATAATCTGTAAATACTTAAAGACTGAGAAGAAGAGAAAGAAAGAGAAAAATATCGAAAAAGAGAAAAATAAAGCAAAAATAAGAAAGATAGTGAAAAAATATTGGGTGGAAAAAGAAAAGAAAGAGATAGCGTGATAAGAGAAAATCAAAAAGGATGGAAAACAGTGAGGAAGTTACACAAGCGGAAATAAAGAAAAAATGAAAGAGAAAGAAAAGCAGATCAACACAGAAAGAAAAAAGAGAGGAATAAGGAAACTTCGAACAAAAGACATAAAATTTGTCAGCCATAGAAGTATTTGATGGAGAGAAACAAAGCGAAGACAGAAAGAAGGAAAAAGGACGATAGAGAGAAAGCTAGAAAGAATGACTGAAAGTGAAACGAAATAATAAACAATTGACGAGAAGGGGAGATATAAAGATAAATAAATAGAAACAAAGAAGAGTTTAAGAAAGAATGGGAAAAACGAAAGAAAATAGCAAAAACTAGAGATACAAAAATGAAAGAGAAGGAAGGATCTCTCTCTCTCTCTCTCTCTCTCTCTCTCTATGTGTTATTCTCTATAGATTCCTACATGTATATGTGTGTGTTTGTGTGTATGCTCACGCGCAAGTGTTTGGTTATATGGCTATACCTGTATGTACGACGTATCATGAATGCATGTATGTTTGTCTGTGTTATATGTGCTGAAATGCAAACCTGTGTTTGCGCCTGCGCGCCACTGAATTTCAATGTTTGGATCTTGCCATTGTCAGGATATTTGAAATTAACTATTTTGAATATTTCCTGAATTATTCAAACTAATATTCTCATCAGCATCCATTTAATGACACATCGTTAGGATATTCGGGAGAACACACGACACTTGCCTTGTGCCAGACCAACGGTAAGTTACCTAGGGGATTGGGATTGTTGTGTATTTCCAATATATTTGTTCAGGACCAGATTAAATCTGCTATTTTGAATTCAGATTTTCAAGCTAGTCAGACAACCCTATTCATTTTTAGCTTCTTGGTGTAAAATATATTCTTTACTCTTCCCAGTTCTTATGCTTACAAATACTTAGATGACTATGTGACACTAAAGTATGACGATACCACACTAAATGATTTATCTAGTCTACAAAGGACAGGAGATTGTTCTGAGGTATGTTCACCCCCGTCCTGAAGAGAGACGTGACAAAGAAAAGATTAATCACAGTAGATCATTCTTTCTTACGGAAGTCAATTTTAAATGACATTCCCTTTATGTTTTTTGAATAGCCATATCTTCTTGGGAAAGAGTGGCCATCTCTTACTTTCCCACTGGTTTTGAAATTATCGTCGACTTTCTTCTAAAGTGATTACCACTAGGGAACCCCATCTACTTTGCTATTTCATATATATAACTGGGCGATAATGCTTATAGTATTTACAATACCAGCATAGCACATTCGATAGAATCAATTAATCTCTTTTTCAGTGATACAAGTCTTATCGACGATAATTCATTTTTTATCAGACCTTCCGTTTCCAAACGTGTCTCGTGAACAGTAGACAGATTTTGCAGGAAATGAGATCTTTAAGGATAATCTATTCTAGGGATAATCCGTCTTAAGACTAAATTGAACATCTTTCTAATCTTCATCAGTGATTTTCGATGCAACTTTTCGCTTCCCCGATATACTTCAATAAATAATGGGATTTACAAATGGATTAACAAATGGATTAACAAATGGATCTCATCGAGAAGACGAGTAAATGTTCTCGATCCGTCACTATTCTTTAAATGACCATTTGAAGGAACAAATTTAACAATACTTATTTTCTGTATCCTCACATATTATTTTTTCTGCACCCACTCATATTAATGAAACAAAGTTGAATGATTTTCCTTCTTCGCAGACATTACACAGAAAAAATTCGATAGATGTGTCATCATTCATTTTATATTTCATAAACATTAATGTATATTTATGGCTTGCATATATACTTATTTCATAAAAATATGGAATCGCTTTATATCAATCCTAAAACGAGGTTTAATCAATTTGCCTGCGCAGCCAAAAATATATTTCAATCACATTTAGAAAATGTTAGTAAACTTCTCACCATTAGAAAGAAGAAAATATCTATTTTTTGATTTTTTTCTCAATCAATAGAAACGGAGGCTATTTACTGTTGGTCGGAAGTTATGCAAATGATATAAACGTCAATAACCCAAATTTACTTTGAACAATTTTTATCAAATTTTAAAAGAATAATACGTAGTTTTGATATATAATATTAAAAGTTATATTATAAAATCTGCAGATAATAAAATCATCAGCAATTGATGAACGCCTATAACAAACATATCTGGTAAGTGTTTGAAGAATTTATATCTTAATATAGTGACACTTCTCAATAACAGCCAACACTATACGTATATATATATATATAAACTGGAGTTTTAACACAGATCACTTTTGAATAATTAGATCACGTGATGGTAAAGGAAATGTATATATAAATATATATGTAATTAGCGTAGCATCTAAATAACCATTCTCCGGATTACTTCGGAGTGTGCTGGTCAAACTCTCTGCCTCCGGGCAGAGAAGATGCCCAGACGATGCCAAAGGACAGAGACTCGTTTCGGGAGACAGCTACCCGAACCCGTTTTTTACGGGATCTACGGGGAAATTTTGGTCGTGACTACGGGCTCGGATAGCCCAGAATAAACTTAGTCGAATGCTATATCCGACCGCTTGGGGCGGTTAATGAATATTATCACTATACGGACTACTATTCGGATCACTATTCTTTGGTTACTATTCGAGCGAGTATTACCAAGTAAGTACTATTAGTGCGTGTGATATGATAGAAGGCATTTGACACCAAAATTGTTCAATGGCGTTCCTATAGTTGTACCTGCGATTACAAAATATCTACTACAACGAGCATTACGAAAGTGACAACGCGTATTCGTCGACATTACAAAGTGGAACGAGTTCGTTGACATCACAATATGTATAAGTGTGTGTGTGTGTTTGTGTGTGTGTGTGTGTGCAAACAGAGCTTTAATTCGGCAAGAAATATTTGTGATAAAACAGATAATTTATTAATATCTATCTATCGGTTTTTATATTTTAACATCATTATGAAGTAATAATTTCAATTTGACGATGAATTTTAACGTTGAATGAAAATAAGATTAAAGTCTGAAGATTGTCTTAAGAGTTTATTATTTCTTCACTAAGTAAAGTCTAGATGAGTTTTAATAACAGAAAAAAATTTAATCTTTTATTACATGGTTACAAGAAAATATATACGAATTCTAAAAATGTTTTTAATGCTTTCCATCTATTGTGGGGATGGCTTCAAAATCAAAGTAACGATTGCAGGCCTCCATACACATTAGAAAATAATCAATCGCTGCGTCACACTTTTACACGATCCGAAGACAGATAATGTGAATATTGGGAAATAAAGCCTGTAAAAAGCAAGCGACGTTATTAACAGACTTTGGCATCGCACCAGAATGAAGAAAGCCTAATATCTCTGAGAGTAGGAATGGCAATGCAATGAAGCTTGAGCCATAGAATAGGTGAACATCAGGTGAAGAACTGTCTGGAACATCTTGTGAATGAAATAACAAAAAAGAAATAATACAAATGGTTGGTATTTAGAAACCAGCTGTCTCCTAGAATCTGTTTTCGGATAAAAGTGTTTAGCCATTAAAAAGCATTTTTTTATCGAGACGGATAAGAAATCTAGCGTAAATATAATTATTAAGTGTTAATATGACTTAAATCTTTTTTGTGGTATCTAGTTTTCACAAAACAGCCAGATGATGGCTTCTTATTTGAAGCTGGCCATTGCGGAAGCTGGTAGGAATAAGACTGGAAAATACATGTCCTCATTACTGGCTGGTCATCCGGAGATGGCGCTACAACAAAATTTCATGTTTCTTCTTAAACTGTGAAACGATGTCGGTTGTTATTCAGTTTATTGTTTATCTCTGCAAAATTCTTAAATTTCCAACGTTGTACTTTCATTCATCCATAAATTAAATATGTTTCATTTTTGAAATGACATCTCTCTTCCGACCCATGAAGATCAAAATGTAATCAAAAATGTAAATGCATATGAATACATCTACAAGTCTCGTTCCCTCGCTATCTACAGTCAATGACGAAATTATTCGTACACCCACCAATTTGAATTATTTTTAACAATTTCTCATAATCTAATATCCATATGATGCGATCTTTTTTGTATGTTAATAAGCACACAAGACAGAGAATTATTAACTTCCACAAGTCGGGAAATAGTTACGGATCTATTACAAACCGGTTAGCTATCACTAGATCTACAGTACACGCCATTATAAAAAAAAGTTTAAACAGTTTTGTCGTAGACGAAACCCCAAATTGTCATTGAAAACTGCATGAAAACCGTGTCGTGTGTCGACTAGTTAACATAAACCCAAGAGTTGTTTTGAAAGACATCAGCAAATGCTTGGATACAATGGGTATCAGCATAAGTAGTCGCACAATACAACGTTGTTTACATAGAAATGGGTTATAGTGAAATCGACTCCAACAAACCCCTTTTCACAAACAATGTCACATTGTTGCACGGTTCAATTTTGCCAAACGTTCTTGGAAACAAGTACTATGAAGTGATGAAAGAAAAATTGAGCTTTTTTGACATAATGATGTACAGAAGATTTGGCGCAAGAAAATTGAGTCTTTCCTCCCAAAGAACACAGTGGCAACATTAAAACATGGAGGCGGATCGATGAATTTTTGGGGTTATTTTAGCTCAAGGGGTTTGGACAATTAATTGAAATAAGAGGAATAATGAAATTTGCAGACTATATCAAAATTCTGGATTAAAATCTATAACTATCAACGCAAAATTTTAATTTAGGTCGGCGATTTAGTTTCCAGCAAGATAATAACCCCAAACATATATTTAAATCAGTGATTGCGTTGCTTCAGAAAAAGAAGATTACATTACTGCTATGGCCTTCAATGAGTCCTGATTTGAATCCTATTGAAAATCTATGGCAGGAATTGAATGTTCGAATAAATCGTCGGTCAACAAGAAACTTCAGGAATAAGGTGTAAACATTGAAGAATGTAAGAAAATCCAAAAGAAAAAGATTTGTTCAGATCTCATCAAAATCTTTCGAAACCGATTGCAGAAAGTTATAAAGGTTAAAGGCCATGCTATTGACTATTAATATTATGAAAATTATTTAATTTTTTTCTATTTTCCATACTATATTGATAATTTTGCATAATTTTCCTATCAAATGTGTTGTATTTAACATATTGTTCTGAAAATTGAGTTTTATTTTCCATTTTTTGGCGATGAGGGGCTTATTAAACTTGGCATCATACGAGCATTAGATTCTGAGAAATGAATAAAAATCTACGAAATTGATGGGTGTACGGATAATTTCGTCATTGACCGTATCTATCTATCTTCCTCTCTTTCTACTTATTTAATGTGTTTGACACAAGGTTATAGGAACAGAATATTTGTTAATAAAAGTCACTGTATTAGGAATGTTTTTTGTGAATGGCTTGACAAAATTGTGAACAGGTTCTGCATTATCTTTAACATCAGCAAAATAAATGAGGAAATAAAAGAAGGAAACATCTGCCACCCATCGAAATGACAGCTTCAGAAAAATTCAAAATCATTTTAAAATAAACATTATTCCTTCTATTCATAATAATATTTGTCAGTGTCATTTTGATTGGATTTTACTCAATTTGGACGTGGGAAAAGTTGTTATTATTTTGAATCATAATTCTGTTTGTATCTTTGGAGGAAAAACCGAAAAAAAGAATCAGAATAAATAGAAATATTAAAAATATGAAAAAACTGAAGAAACAGTCTCAGATTATCAGGCAAAATAAATGCTAGTTTAATAAAAGATATCAAATCGTTGAAAGATAGAAACAGCAACAAATAGAAGTATACGCTTGTCTGAAAAAGTCTAATGATGAAAAAAAAACTTTAAATAATGCAGACAACTGACCATGCGAGTTCTCTACGGAAAGTAAACAAACATTTTATTTTTAACGAAAAATATCCTTGCTCGAACAATGTTGTTTTCCTTTTTTCAAAGAATACTTCTCATTCTTATTGCAGTTTTTCAAGACAGTAGGCCGAATAACTAACACTCGCCTTGTTATATTCTCCTTAATCTCACAAGCATTGTCTTATACTGCTGCTATTATTACTTCTACTACTACAATTTCTATTAGTAGCAACTGATCTACTTTCCAAAATCTGGACAAATGAGCAATCATTCGATTATCTGGAATACAGTTTTGGTTGGGCACGGAATTCCTTCAGTGGCTACCCCCACACACACCTACTAGAAAATCATTAGTTAATATAAGCCGTTATATGAACAGTGACAGTGAGATTAGGATTTTTAACCTACTCTCACTGAGGCATCAAGAGTAAGGATGTAGACATGTTTCTCCATGGTATAGTAAGTTTATGATTGATTTTTTTTCTACGGCTTATCAACACTTTGTAGGTTATTTAATACCAGAAAATAATTTGAAATTGTAATAATATTTTTTCTGGTTTATTTCAAATAGCTGCCACGTTTTACTAATTAATCCATAACTGGGGATAATGTGTGTCTCCATTCCTTCCATAAGATTATTTGCGCAGTAATGAATGAAGAACCGAACAGGAATTGGTACTCGGAAGTTCGAATAAAAATTCCGAGTCATTAAGCATTACAACACACGCACATCCAAGTGTACAGCACCTGCTATTTCCAAAATATCACCCATCTCGGTATTGACCAGGCTCAACTTCAGTGATCGTATGGGAATCGGTGTTTTAACGTGATGTGGTCGCAAGTCAGTTTAGCAAATACTCGTAGTATGAAGAACTACTTCTCCATTCTGAATGCGTACAATTTAATTCCATGGATGAATAATATATAAACTAAATCATGTTATGATAAAAAAATATTTTAAAAAAAATATGCAGCGAGAAAACAGAGAATAATATGAAATAGTTAAACACTAAAAGACAGTCGGCTGAAGTTTTCAGAGGCAGTATTGCTCAGTTCATTTAGTTTTTTGTATACCAAGGAAAGAAATCATCTCGATGCTGTCTGAAAATCTAGTTCTACTTCCATTTTGTACGTTAACACAAAATAAATGTGTCGTGAGATGTGTGTCGGAAATAATGTTTCAGTGAATAGTAAGATATCTGTGAAGAAAGCAACACAATTTCTCGTTCGAGGCTTGTGCCTCTTTCTAACTTTCACATGTGCGTGATGTTTTTTCTTAGAATACTGAACGTATGGTGAGGTCTTCGAGAACTTGCTTTTACATGGAAACAAAGACAGAATTTGGAATATCTAAAGGCATTGTAACACGCATTGATTTTAATGAATCATTAGCAAGAAATTGTGAATTATTCCAAGTAGTTGCCAAGTCATAAACATGAATAACAGACGTCAGGTCTCCATCATTCCGATCATAAAATCTGTTGCTCCGTCGTCAGTACTGCCAAGGAACTCACCAATATTTCGCTTTTATGCTTTTCCTTCTATCCTCCAGTTCTCTTAAAAAGCCCAGCGGATATCGTAGCGTCATGTGCCAAATAATGGGAATTATATCTAAACTAACTTTATACTTTTGTTTGTTCTCCGAACCAAGATTAACTTATCTATCTTTTGATATCTTATCTTAATCTGTCATTAAATACGAAGAGAGTGACGATAATTTAATTGGGAATTCACAAAAGAGGCAATTCAGTTCAGAATTCGGCATGAACGAGATAAAATGGCCGATCTGGCGCAATCAGATTATTGGTGAGAGAAGGCAATCAAAACAAGCGGCAAAAGTGTGAATGGTGCTGAAGAAGAGTCGCTATGATTTATTTATTATTCGTGGTTTGCTTATTGTCAGTGTTGAAGGTGAGAAATGTTTGGAGGCTGACGCCAAAGAGAAGTATACAAGAAAAGAGGCAAGAAAGAAAGTTAAGAGGAGAGAAATACCGGAAAGAAGTAAAAAGAATCTAAACATAGTAAAAACTGAGAAAGGATCACTTGTTTCATAGTGGAAATTGATATCTCCCAACGTTATCAGAGGTAGGTGTTCGAATCCAGGTAAAAGAAAGAACAAGATCTTTAATCGATTAGGATTTTAAGCATTTTGACCGTTTCATTAAGACGTATGGCTTAATACTCACGATAGTTCATGCTTAAATAAAACTTAGTAAGGGATTTCGAATTAGGAAAGGAAGCAAGCATAAAAACTGAAATCTGAAAAAGCCAATAATCTAAACTGATCCTTATGAAATCATTTTCTATTAATGATCGATCAATAAAAGTTGAAGAAAATATTACTCATTACTGTTTTAAATGAATGTTTAAAATAAGATTAATTGGAATATTTTGATTTAGCAAATATTTAACAGCATAACGCAATTAGAAACTTTTATGATCATTACTTGTGCTATTTAATAACCACGAACAATACTTTTTCTCAATTTTCAATATACAACGTACAGAGTGTTGCTAAAATAAGTTTCAAATAGATATTACAAATTTGAAAGCTTAAATATGTCTTATTACTGGGGGAAATAGTTCAAAAAATGGTTCGAGTAAAATGAAATGGCCTGCACAAGGATTAAAAATAACTGATCTTTGTCTAAATGCATCGACTTCAACTATAGAAAAAAGAAAAAGGCAAGGAAATAGCACAACAATAAGAATTCAATGAAAAGAAAATGGATAATTTGAGAGGAAGGTATTAGAGAAGAGAAGATAATAAATAGAGAGAGGATAAAAGAAAATAAGAGAAGAGAAGGAGAGGGAGCTGATGCTGAAATGGAATAGCCGGGAGTGATGTACATTGAAAGACCAGAAGAAAGAAAATAAGATCAAAGAAGTTTAGTCAGAAGAGAAATAATAATAGATTAGAGGGAGGAAGGTGAAGACGAAGAAAACATGGTAGCAAGTAAAAGGAGGGAGAGAGAAAGAAGAAGAGAAAATGAAAAAGTAATGGGATGCACTTGAAGGAAGAATGGAAATACGAAGAAAAAATGGAAAGATGGAATAGAGGGAAGAACAGCTTAACAAGAAAAGCGGTGATCTTATTGCAAATGGAGGAGTACAGGAAGAAGGACCGATCTATCGATTAAGTGTTGAGTGAAGACTGAAAGTCGCAAAATGATAGGATTAAATAGCGAAGAGTAGAAATAAATACAGAAAATCGGAGGAAGATTAGGAGCAACGATGCAAAGAAAAGAAGATTATAAAAGAACGGAAGGAAGATAAAGACAGGGAGACGAAATCTCAGAGATCACTAATCAGAAGTTGGTTGGGAAAGAGAAGAAACAGGAACACTAGCAGCACCAAAAAAAAAAAGGAAGAAAAACTGGGCGGAGGCTAAGAAGACGGAGTTTGAAGAGTACAAAAAAAGAAAAGAATATGTAGGAGTGAAAATAATGAGAACTAGGAGGAAAGGAAGAATAAAATGTCACTGTAATGGCAATGGAGATATAATTTGGAACCAAGCATCAATGTGCGTTGTCAGAAAATATTTTTGCAATTTATAAGCACGCCACAAAAAGTCCAAAACAATAGAAACTTTACGAGTTTTTATTTTCTTCAGCCTCCTTATTTGTGATTGTCAGGTTTTCTGAAATGAAGAGCGAAAAAATGCGTTAATTGCCATCTTGTTGGCTCAGATATTGTGGTCATTTACGGTACACAATCGCCTAATGGATCTTCTGGAAATATGCAAACCTGTGATGCACACATGATAGGCATTTGTAGGTAGACACGTACTTGCAAATCCGTATCTCTGCGTATACAAGTTCTAGAACTTGGACATTAACGAAAACAATTCATTCTCCACATCATTTCATGAGGCTATACGAATCTCGGACCGCGCGCACATATTTACACGTAAACAAGAGCAGAAATAAAACTATTTTCTTCAGACTTTCATTTCCTGTGCAGTGATTAAGGCATTGATCTTTCTTGAAAATTGTATTGAGTTCAAACTGATTCCTCGACGTCATCTATACAACAGAAGCTCTTTACTTTTATCAGAAATTGGATGGTACAAAACAAAAATATTTTCTAGGTTCGTAATGTGAGCGCATTGTGTACATTGAAAACACATTTGTGAATAGCGTTCCATTTCCGCGTGATTTCACTAATGGATAGATTCTCATTGAGACTGACAATTGTGCAGAATACGAACAGGTGTCTCTCCAGATTTACATCAATAATTCATTGTTTATTTCCTTCCAAACCTAGAGTCTCTATCCTCATGGTACGTCTATTTCTGAAAAGCATTTTCATGAGGGTCATCCTCTCACAAAGGAAGTTATCACTTCTATCTTTTATCACAGTCTAATGTTATCGTCAAACAGAATAATAGAAGACGAACTCAAATCTACCATATGCAGCATCATTGTTTATTTACAGCGGATATCTTCAATTACTGTCGACAAGTGTGTATGTATCCTTGAGGCCTTCTCTTAACCTGGATTCTACATTTTTGTGTCGATGTAAAAGACGGTTTTTTTTTCCTCTAGGGTGGGTGTTTATATATTTACTTGCGATTCGGTTTTTTCCATGGATGCACGACTTGATCGACTACGTGTTTATAATGGGTGGAATGCTGGTCTAAGATGTTATCTGTCATGTCAAACCGCTTATTCACCTGGACTCTCTGAAAGATATTGAGTGCAGTGTTTATAACTAATTGTATAATAATTGCATTCTTCTGATTTGAAGTTAATCAATATCAATGGAAAGAAATACATATGACACCACCTCTGAAATTGTTTAAAGTTTGCTCCTGTTAATTAACAAAGCGGGAAATAGGAACATTTCTTTAGAGTAGAGAGGAAAACTTTTCCCCAAATCCATTTAATCTCAGAGTCATATTTGTGTCATAGTGAAGGGAAATCGTAACCTACTGGTTGCGCTAACCTTTTGAATGAAAAAGGCTACTCTGTGTATATTTACTGCCATACATGTCATGTTTTTTATTGCCTCTGAAGCAGATGGGCAATATCCTATGTTTTGTAAGGAAAGGTGTTATGGAACACAGTCAGGTAATGTACCAATGCAAACTGCAGCGTCAGACGAACAGACACAGATTCAGACTTGGAGGAATGAGTATAGAAATAAACTTATTGCATTGCCTTGAATGATTTTCTTTTTTTCGGATTATTAAATGTGAACCCCCTGGAGGAATTGTATTAATATATATATATATATATATATATATATATATATATATATATATATATATATATATATATATATGTACCCACGTATAGGATTGGTGTATACGGAATAAATTCCAATAACCAGCAAATACTATTCTTAAAAGAGTGCTTAATAGAGGGTAGATCAAATATAAAAATTTATTCGAAAATTATAGCATAAATATGTTATAAAATCACTACAAGAATAGCCATTTTGTTTCGACACTTCTGGTGTCTTATCAAGTGATGGTGTTGAATGTAGAATAAAAGGTATTAAAAGGTTCAAAACAATCAAACGCCTGTCGCTAGAGAAAACGCTGTTGCATATACTGGAATGACCAATCAAAATAGAAGTATAGGAGAATTCAAAAAACTTGAAAATGAACTTTGGTTTAATAATTATTTAATGCTTTAATGTTAGAGTTCGACTAAGATAGAATTCATTCTAACTGATAAATATTAAATTATACTATAAAATTAAAACTTTCCAATTTTAAATTTGATCTATATTAAGCTTAAAATTATAAAATTATTTAAAGAAGAAACTGAGGAAATAAATACATATCTTTTGTTATTTTTGTTTTTATTGAAATTAAGTTGGAAAAAACATTATGATCTAATGCTGCTCTGAACTCCGATACAACTTAGAAGGGAGGATAAAAACTTGCAAAAGACAATACATACACAATCAGATTATAATACACAAACACGCAGACATATTTAGATATACAAACATGCAAAAAAGCGACGAGACAGGAAATATGTCCATGACACTTAAAAAAACGACAACACATACATAGAATACGTTTACTAACACTTTCATATTTGAACATTTCTTGGTGGGTATCTCTCCGTGTTTTTATCAATATATGTGTGAATGTGTGTGTGTGTCTTTATCAATGTACGTGTGTATAATCGCTTATATGTGCCTTTCATTCTATGTACATGTTGCCGTTTTTTTAAGTGTCGTGGACTTATTTCCTGTTTCGTCGCTTTTTCGCGTGTTTATATATCTAAATATGTCTGCGTGTTTGTGTATTATAATCTGATTGTTTATGTATTGTCTTATAACATAATTATGTTATAATGTTCGAATAAATAATTATATATATATATATATATATATATACACATACATACATACATACATACATACATATACATACATACATATATATATATATTCTTACGACCCTCCCTGGTCCTCCAACCCTATCGATAGCGGAGGTAGAGGAGGATCGTAGCCTGTGTTATTTTTTCTTTTAACATTTCCTCAATTTTCGTAAAATATATTTTCTTTCCCAAGGGTCTCTTTCCGATTGATCAGACACGGCTGAGCGGAATCGATTAAGGAACAAACATGATAGGCGACAAACAACAATGGAGACAAAGAATATAAATTTATTAACAAACGTAAAAACATGCCAAAAAATGGGCAAAATAAAAATGGCAATGTGTCAAGATTAACATTTAAACATTGTGGACTAAATAGGGGAGGGGAACATTTTCTAAGAAAGGTAAAACTCAAATCATCATATGGCCTTGTGCCATACTTGAACGAATTTACAGAACATGTGCCATACTTGCACGAATTTGCAAAACACTAAAATTTTAAGACAAGTAGAAAGAAACACGTAATAAAAAGGATTCCATGCTAAATTTACATGAAAGTACAAACATGGAAAAGAAATTGAAACCAAATGAAGCACAAGAGAAACAACGAACTTATCTTGTAACAAAAGTTCTTTTCCACTAATGTCTCTTATATTTACTCCCTTTTTTTCTCTTTCTTTTTGTTTTCGTCCTGTCTAGGTGTTTAGGCGACGATTAAGTTGAAACTGCTTTCTTTCTTTATTTCCTTCGTCTCGGTGTAGCAGAATTCTCGTTTGAGTTAGTCTTTTCTTACTTTCTTTTTTTTTTTTCGTCCTTTGTTTAGGGGCTTGGGTGACGATTAAGTTGGAACTGCTTTCTCTCCCTCTCTCTCTCTCTCTGTCTTTCTCTCTCCTTCGTCTCGGTGTGGCGGCATTCTCCTTTTAGATCCTTTCTTCCTTTCTTTCATTTAACTATCTCTTTTTGAGATCTTTTCTTGCTTTCTTCTTTTCTTTTTCTATAAGCGTCTGGTCTCGGGACTTGGGTGACGGATGAATCGAAGCTGTCTTCTATCTCTCTTTTGTCCTGATGTAGCGGCATTCCGCGTACGTCGTAGTTTAATTCACAGAATCCAAACATTTCTTTCGCGTTCCTCGCACTTGCGTTCGGTCATCCGTTCGATGTTCGAAGAGAGACTTTTCTTTTTCTGCATAACCAGACAAAGCTTTTGCGTTCATAGCAAACGCGTCCGTCTTTTCTCTTCGAAGTTGAATTCTCTTTCCCGTATTTCCCAAAAACGTCCGTTAGGCCCGAAGACATGGACAAGACTAACTTTTTCGTTTCACTATTCGTTTCCTTTTTTTTTGTCACGTGGTCAATTTTCAAATACGAACTTTTCCCATTGGGTCAGAGAAAGTTTAGTTTAACGTGTTTCAACTTTTCCTATCTGAAATCTATCCGTGTAAATCATGCTGTCAACAATTTGACCAAAAGAGAAAGAAAGGGTACAATTAATCTTTGTCTCTACTAAGTCT